TATTCTTGTTATTTAAGCTTTATATTACTCCTCTCAGATTTCACTTATTGAAAATAATTTTAAATTTATCTAAAACAAGAATTTGCAGTTCTGTTTTCCAGCACATGTCTTAAATTGAAATAAGAAGCATCACTTTGCACTATGGGCCTATGCAAATAAATGAATAAACATTAAATGTGTAAACTGTTATTTTGTGTATTATTCTACCAATCAAGTGTTCCTTAATTGGAGCTTGTAATGAAAATGGATGGCCTTTTTTATTTCAGTTCTCCCTGAAACGGGTCATTCACATCTTAGGAGTTAGGAGTTAGAGTTAGAAGTGAACTTCCTCAAAAACACTGCAGGAAGTTAAGGTGAATTGATGCAGCAGAAACCATTGCATGTCACTGACCGCTTGGTTGGTGGCTTTTGCAGTGTTGTGCCTTCTTCAATAGATTTAGTGTCTGGATTGCTTCCAAAGTGTAGTTCCTTGTTCAGCATACACCTCATTTAAATAAAAAAATACCAGGTAATATAATATATACAAAAACATACTACATAGCTGATCTAATGAAAAATGTATTTTAATACTTCTCTTAAGTAATTTGACTTACTCTTTGAAATACTTAGTTGCAGAGTTTTGAGCTAAAGTTTGAGACAGTTGTTTTACATAGGACAAATACTACTAGCATATTACTGAAATACAATTGAATGTCTTATGCATTTAATTAGATTTGTTTTTTTTTGTATTTCAAAGGTTTATTATCTGACGTTAGTAGAGATGACTTAATGATGCATGAGAAGCACAATGGGAATGAAAATTGGACGTGAAGTAACCTGTATATTTAAAGAACATATAAAAAATCCTGAATATCTGTTGTATGTTTAAGAGGTTTATGAAAATGCTAGAGATAAGTCACTATAAGCCACATAAAAGTATACTGTTCTTGAATGCTTCTTCCAAAGGGAGAGGCAGAACAAGAAAACTGGATGAGTGCTTCCTAGAAGTGCTATTTTTATATCTGTAATGGCTGAGCTTGTGAGTCTGGGACATTGTGTTTAGGGTGTATGGATTCTTTTGGTGAAAGAATTGAATGGTTCTTAAATGCTATTTGTGTATTTTGGTTTATAGAATCACCTAAACTATAGCAGAAAGAAGTTGATAATAGTTGCTTTTCTGTCTCTAATCTATTTTTCTTTTCCTGTGGAATAATGAGAATTCTACTTAGAATGGTGAATTTATGTCAGACCTATGTTCTTTTCACAAGGGCCTGTCCTGACACCTTTTGTGTTTGGTGAACATACCCATGATGAAAAGTAGTTTGAATCATTAGAAATTGTTTCTTAAAAAGTGTATTTTTGGAGGGGGGTGTCTGGTAATAAAAGAATTGTCTTTCCAGTTTGCAAGTCCTCCTTTACTAAAACAATTAGAATCTATTTTTTTCCAAAATATGAATGCTGGGGTGTCTTTGTTGTCCAAGCTGCTTCAGCCTTGGTTCTCAAACTGCTGTTGTTTTCTCGCAGCCTTTCATTTTTGCTTTTTGTAGGTAGTTCAGTCACAGAATGGGAATACTTTTGATGGGTCCTTATAAACTTCCAAAGTTTAGAGGTCTGCATTCTAAGCCAGTCCTTTTTAGTTCAAGTTATAGCTAATATTGATAAAACCAGGGTCATCTTCATATGTGATTCATCTGCTTTATTTTAGGTTTCTGCTTTACAAGAAGATAGCTAATACTCCATCACTACTTGGTTTTCTGCATTGGCTGTGGAGGGAGGTGAAGACACCCACCTTCGATGGTTAGGTGTGTCTTCAGCTTTTTTGTTGGTTTAAATCCTGGTATGAGCATATAGTGTGACATGGTAGATTTTGAAAGAGAAGGACAAAAAAGAGAGAAGAAAGATGAGAAAGAGAAGATAAAAAGTCTCATTTGTTATCTTTTCATGCCCACCCATAGAAGAGCTATTGTGTTGTGCTACGATTTGTAACTTCCTTGTTGTTCAGAAAAGTGATAACAGTATCATGAAAAGCGAAGTTGCTCAAAGGCAGGAAATTTGCAAAGGAACACTATCTAAGTAGTCATAATCTTATTCTTTCAGCAAATGTTTTCTGAACCAGGGCCTGAAGACTGCTTCTTTCAAGCTGAATAAAGTTCAATATATGTTTTTGTTTTATATAAATATGAATAAGTCTGGCTCATGATTTGTTTTTTTCTGTAAACATTGTGAGGCTTAGAGAGAATGGGTTTCTTATTTTTTTTACCTGTTTAAAATATTAAAATGAAAATTAAAAATATTAGCTAGACTTTTTTCTACTGGGATTCTGGTTTGTGAATATATGGTAACCATAAACTGTATAACTGTAAGACATTTATGAATTAACATAAATAGGATATGCCAAAAAAAAAAAAGTTCCTGCTGTAAAGGTTATATAATTCATCTTCTTTTCTCTCTGGAATAGTCTTTCCCTTATAAACTAATGGGAATATTTGTTCTAAATTTTAACTTCTGAACTGTTAAAAAGGGCTTCTTGGCTGAAAATGGTGGGGTTTTCTTGTTTATCTTAAAATCTCAGGGCACATTGGACTGGAGATAGGTAGGTAGATGCATACTATTGATTTTTTCACAGGTTCATATGAAACTTGCAATCTTAAATTGCCTTTTTTTTTGTCTATGTTAAGTCCGATAATTTTCAGTCTCTGTGAGTAAGCCTTGTGAGTACACTTAGTAGCTTGTCTGTTAGTGGACTTAGTAAAGGACATGTTAACATTCATAGTAATTTACTGTTTTTTCTGGACTTTGAGGGAGCTTTCTGTTGTCTTCTTTTTGAGCTGTGGAACTGACATTTCAATTTGGATCGGTTTTGCCAAATGTACATTACCTTGCCTACTTGTCTAATGTGAGTTAAGTTTTTTCATTGCTAGATGTTTTGAGTTTTTTCTTGGGTTGGTCTGTTTGCCTTCAGTCTTCTCTTATCATCTCCACTGAATTCAAGCATCTTTACCGTGAAAAAACTTTCATCTTTTATATGATGCTAGGCTTTTCTCTTAACATGATTTTTCTAAAGGGGTTGGATTTACAAAGTGAAAGGAAACCAAGTTTGTGCTAGAAGCTGTCTTTCATGAGTAGAGTCTAATAGACAAAATGAAGGGAGCTTAACAGAAAGATGTTGGAGGGGAGTGTTAACACCCAGTTCCTGCCCATGTTGCCATTTTCCACAGAGCATTGTGAGAATTTGCTGCCTATTGCTGGGGGAGGATACTGACTTCTGGGGATTCTCCTCCTTTTTGCTGGGAGGAATGTGCTGCTGACATTGGGTATAGAGCTTCTTCCTGCTCACAGAAGGATCAACTATTAAAAAAGTTTGTTGTTGCAGTCTGCTACTTACTCTTTCTTCATTGTTTTGCAAGGCAGTGTTATAGCTGACTTTATTATATAGGGTATTTAAAATATGTTGGATACTTGTTTGGTGATTTTATTTTAGAAACCAGTTTTTAAAATTGTACTCCAAGGCACAGGTGGCATTTCTTAGCCAGTAAGTGACTTCTGGTGCATTGATTACAGTCCTGCCCCCTCTGAGAGCATTGCGTGCTTTTATTTTATGAAGTCTCTGCTGCAATCCCATGTTTTACTCTCTAGATTTCCCAATATCTTAACCAGTGTTTTATTAGCACAACCTTATCTCCTTGTCCTACAGCTGCTAATACTTTAAAATGCAAAACTAATGATCCCTTAGAAGATGCACACCCACATATAGACACCCGTTCAAACAAGAATGCTTTGGAAACACCTTGCTACCAGTGTCTACTAGTAGTGGTAAAATTACTGGTATGTTAAAATTATTTTCTAACGTATAATTCTCATGATTATTACCATTTGACAAATAACTGCTTTAAGGTAGCATAATCAAACATGACAATCTAAAGGTGTACTTAGGCTTCTGTAATGACATACTGCAAAGCTGTGAGACAGATGATTAGAGGACTTTTAAGACATTACATATCCTGGGTTTCTGTTACTGTTTACTGCAGTTGTGTAATGGAGGAAATGCCGCCTTTGGTTTGTTTAAGTTGAATCAAACACCTCTCTCTTCTGCACCTTCCCCTCCTTGAGAAAAAAACAGGGCCAAGAAAGACACTTCTTTGGTTTTTATCTTGGTACAGTAAGACTCTGTGAACTGCTGCTGCAAGAGGGAAGCTACAACATTTACTTGGAGCATTCCCAACTTGTGTTAAACTCTCTTCTTGGAGAGCTTTGGGAGTTAGCTGTCATGGCAGCACATTCAGCGTTCAAGAGGTATTAATTCAGATGCCATGGTTTAAAAATAAGACAGTGTGGCTTACATGGTAAATTTCAGTTCATAGCGAAATGTGAATTTCTTTTAACATACTTGTGTGATGAATTAAATAGGCGACATTGGGATTCTGTGCTTTTCCAGTATTGAGAATCATGTTTTTTGGGGGGTGACGGACAGAAACCATGTTTCCTTTTGTCTGATTTCTTTCTGATTCCAAATGCTTGCCTGAAAAACAAATGCTCCTTAAAAAGCTGTAGTCAGGTTTCTAAATAAATTTCACTGGTTTTCTAAAAAGCATTTTTCAGGCCTTGTTCTTCTGCCAAGACTGGCAACATATTTTGCTGTACGTGATGCAAACATAGCCATGTTCTGCAGAGATTGCTCATACATAGCTTGAGGGCTCTCAAAGTGCTTCTGATGATCCTCCTTCAGGTGTGAAATGTTTAAAATGAAGTAAATTTTTATATATTAATTCTGGTTAACCAGGCGTGATTTGAGATTTTCACAGTCTGCAAGAAATTAAGTATTCATTAACATTTAAAGCCATTAGGTGACACAGTTGAGCAATAAATGATACATTTAGTCCCTGTTAAAGTAAATGTGCGTTGAAGTTTTTGACTAGAAGATAAGTGGTGGTTGTCTTTGTTTTCAATTATTTTCCTCATTCTTGCTTTATTTATTCTGTGCACTTCATTGACTTGTCTTTCTTTCTCTTTTCTTGAAACAGAAGAAGAAGAAGTGGAAAATTTTGATGTTTCCAGTCTGCCTGAAGAAGTGCTGCAGAACATAGAAGCTGACAGTTACTGGTGCATGAGCAAGTTGCTTGATGGCATTCAGGTAAATTGATTTTTCCTGTCTGTAAATAGTAGAGTTAACTGATTAATGTCATGGCTTTGAACTACTTTAAGGCTGTTGAGAAAGAGCACATCTATGAAAAACAGGGGAGAAGTAGATTTTCACAGTTGAGAAATCTGCTGCAAGTTTGGCATAGTATTAAGAAAGGAAAAGGAAGGAAAAAATTGTGCAACTTCTTTTCATCAAAATGACTGGATGTTTCATTGGAGTATGATGTTCTAGAGCAGAGTTGGAATCTCCAATTCTAGAGGCATGTTGGGCATCTCCATCACCAAGCATGGAGAATGTTTGCTCAAGTCTTCAAGTAAAATGGTCTCATTGAGGTGATGAAAAACTGTCTTATTTTTTTCATTTTAAGTCATTAATATAGCAATCTCTAAACAATAGTTCCTGAAACTATGTTTGTGTTCTTAAAACATCCATTTAAAACATGCTACTGATGCTACTTTGTCACATGTTTGAATTTTTTCTATGTGGAGAAGCTATAAATGGGAGCACAATTTTCTGTTCAACATGGCAAGTTACAACTAAGAATGGTGGATTTGTGTGTACATGTTTGCATTCATTAGCATGTAAGTTTATGAAGATTAGAAGGATTTACAAGGAATAGTAAATATGTAGCTGAACATCTTGCATTTATGTGAGGGAGGAATCCATACAGTCTACCACTGATTAAGTGAGAGTCCAAACATCTGCATTTAATATTTAGCATCCTAAAACACTTTGTGCTGCAATGTTGACACACTGTAAAGTAGAAACTTCCCAATTTACAAAACAATTACCTGAATTGAATTTTATAGGCTTTGTGTTGCATTAGGCATCAAATAATATTTATCTGATATCTGTTTTTCATATCTGTATCATTCAGACCCTTGTCATCTGTGCCATAGAAATAAAAATAATCTGATTTTGTAATCTCAGAATATATGTACTAAGTTAATAGTTGTTGTGAATTCTTGGGTTCTAATGGGACCAAAATTGACCTTTGCTAGAAATGCAAAAGTATCTGAAAGGTGATGATTTGTATTTTGCATTAGCAACAAAGATTTTTATTTTTTTTGTTAGCAGCGTTTGGTAGGCAGATGTTTGCAATCAGGGTTCATTTGCTGCTTTCAGTGAGCTGATTAGAAAATAAATTACAGTTACAAATATTTAGCAGATTGCTGCTGGTTCTTTCCTTTTTTTATTGTGTTTGTACCTTCTCTTTCTGATTATTCCCTGTTTTCAAACAAGTTACATGTATAGTGTAGAGGATCTTTTCTCTGAAATTGTTTCAGTTTGTTTTTTTTGTGACAGTACAAATTGTTACAGGGATAACAAAACTTTAGTTTATTCCCAACATTCTCTTACAAGATGAGGTGATGGACAAATGCTTCTACTGTACTTACTATATTCAATTCTTTTGATAGGTTGCATATAAATTCATTTGTTTTGAAATGCTTTGGACAAATGCTTGAAAACTTGAGGTTTTATTTTTCCAAGTGGTTTTCATGCAGCAAAGACTCTGGAGATTGTATTTATGTGTGTGGAAAATGGGTATCCTCCAGTCATTAATAAATCATCATAAAATGTTAATAACCATAAAAATTCCTATGGATTGAAGCTGTACTGCTGTACTTTGCAGTGAAACAAAATTAATGATTACCAGATTCTTTATTTTGATTGCATTTTATTGACTGTTATTTCTTTCCTTACGGTACTTAGGATTATTAAAAGTGCTTTAACATACTCTTACCTATGACTTAAGTTTTAATATGAATGTTTCATTGGCTAAGGCATATTGTGAATTTAAGCTTGTAACAGAGTTAATATTTGTCAAAATTGTTATAAAATTGAGTAAAAAACCAGAAGTCTAACCTCTTTTAAGCTATTTTAAGCGCATTTCTCCTGGTTAAAGATCAAATAAGTGGTAGCTCAGTGTTTTGTGTAGCAGTTTTGAAAAGCGTAGTCGCCTTCTCATGTTGATTCCTGTAAAAAATGCTGGTTTTCATATTTAAGTCTCTTAGAACTACTACATTTTAAAATATTTGACCACATACCAAAAACGTGTAAAAATTTATGAAGACAAAAGTGAGAACTTGAAATCCGCTTTAAAGGAAGAAAGCCAGGTAAAGAAATGCAAGCCCTCCAACTGTTTTGGCTGTTTCTGGAACATCTTTTGCCACAGGCCTGGTCCTCTGTTTTTTTTCTAGAAAAAGAAGTTCAGAGATTACGTATTTTCTCCTTAAAACTGTGTTTTCATACAAAACTGTCAAGTACTGATAAACAAAATACTGAAATTAATTGTGATGGAATTAAACTGCATTGATGAAAATTTAAGCTCTTATATAAATGGAATGGTTATGAATTGGATGTATTCATCTATCAAAAGGATGCACTCATCTATCAAAAGCAGTCTTGAAAGTTTATGCTAGTGGTGTGACTAATGATGTTACAGTTAATTCAGTGCAACTGACAAGTGCTGCTGAAATGGAAGGATTATCTTGTTTTTTTTCTCCCATTCTCTTGTTTTGGTTCCCTTCTGTGTTGATACCACTTTACTTGTCAAGATAGAATGGTCATGTAATTGCAGCTTGAGTTGATTGGGAGAACTAACCCAATGAGAAATTAGCTAATTGAAAGGAAGGGGTTAAAAATCAGAATAAAGATTGTTTTGCTGAAGGGTTGCCATCCAGAGGGATCTTGACAACTTTGAGGTGGGCCCATGTGAATGTCATGAAGTTCAATAAGGCCAAGTGCAAGGTCCTGCACCTGGGCTGGAGCAATCTCAAATGTCAGTAGAGACTGGGGATGAATGGTTTGGGAGCAGCCCTATTACATTTCCTTTTCTCTGTGAAGGTATGTCACAAGAGACTCATATATGACTACAGGTACTTTGTCTGATATGTCTGAATAAACTGTACGGGGATTTTGGAGAAGAAGAATATGTGATGTGATGGTAACTGCAGTCTAAGAATCTCTGCAGAATATTTATGTTAATTTATGTATCAGTATAGGCTTACATTTCATGTTGGCCTGCCAGTACTGGATAAGTTTAAAGAGTGTACTTTGATAACAGTTAGGGTCCTGTTGTGAAATTCTTTATTAATATGAGCTAGATAGATTTTTGTTTTGTTTGATTTTTGTTAGGGGTGTGTCTTTCAAACGCATAAGAATGTAATGAAAGAATGATTGTATTTGTATCCAGAAAACAGAAACTCATCCTGACTATCTCATTTTCTTGGCTCCAGAATTGTCAAAGATATTATTAAGAAATATGCTTTTCTTGTTTGAGTGTTGTGACACGTAGTATCTATTATTTCTCCTTTACTCCCTCACCTTACCCCCTCCCTTCTTTACTAATGTGTCTGTGTATTTTTAATATAACAGCACATATTTATTATTGAATAAGAGACCGTCTTGGCATTGAGCAGCATGACAGTCACTTCCTGACATGCTTACAGCTATTAGCCTTGAGAAGAAATAAAAACCTTGTTAAAATAATCTGTTGCTTTAGCAGATTCTCTAATGTTTTTTGGTGATCTGGGGGTTTCTATTTGTCCTGGGTTCAGCTGCAGCAAATATGTCTTTGGCTCCAGTTAAAGAGTTTTGCAGAACTTTTCCACTAGTTAATGTTTGGTATTGCACAATACCAAATTACTCAGATTACTTTGCATCTTCTTTCTGTTTGTTCTTTCTAGTTATATAGGCTCCCAAGTGGCTATACATGTCTCATCACAATTTGATGGATTTTTTTTTTAATTATTTAAACAGAAATAATCTAAGATATAAATTAATCTTGTAATCTGTAGCTGTATATACTTACTGTCTTGTAGCAGTCAATTTTGGATGATCATATTCTACAGTGGCATCCTGGGTTCAGCTGTAAGGGTTATTTTTTTCCTTCCCAGTAGCTGGTGCAGTACTGTGTTTTGACTTTCAGTCTGACAACAGTGCTGGTAACACACCAGTGGTTTAGTCGTTGCTAAGTAATATTTACTCTGATCAAGGACTCCTCAGTTTCATGCTCTGCAAGTGAGGAGGAGCATGAGAAGCCAGGAGGGAGCAGAGACAGGACACCTGACCCAAAGTAGCCAAAGGGGTATTCCATACCCCAGCACGTCATGCCCAGTATACCCGTAAGGGCAGATCACTGCTTGGGTTGAGCTGGTTATCAATCGGCAGGTGGTGAGCAGTTGTACTGTGCATCGCTTGTGTTTATTGGTGGGGTTTTTTTTCCTTTCCATTTTTAGTTTCATGTTCTCTCCCCTTGTTAGTTCCATTACCATCATCATTATTATTAGTAGTAGTAGTTTTGTATTATATTTAGTTACTGGATTGTTGTTATCTCAACCCGTGGGTTGTGCATTCTTTCAGTTCTCCTCCCCATCCCACCCAGATGAGTTACTCATGACTACGTGCTGAACATTTTTTTCATTAGCTCTTGTCATAGAAAGACTATACCTCACTTATTTCAGGAAAACAAACGGGGACTTCTAAAATTGTAGGATAGATTAAAGGATAACATAGGATAATTCTGGTAGGAAGGAGCCTCTGTAGGTCATCGTATAGGGTCACCTCTGAGGCCACATCGGGTTGCTCAGGGCTTTGTCCAGTTGGGTCTTGAAACCTCCAAGGATGGAAACTGCACAATCTCTGGGGATTAACCTATTCCAATACTTCACTCATGTTGAAAAAGTTTCTCCGTATAACCAGATGGAGCACTTCTTGTTTGTTTTTGCTGCTTGTCTCTTATCCTGCTAATACGCACTACTATTAAAAAACAATCTCTGTCTTCTTGGTAACATAGGTTTTAGCAGGCTGCTATTAGGTGCATCTGAAGCCTTTTTTCTCAACAACCTTAGTTCCTTCATCCTCTCATAGGGCATTTGCTCCATACCTCTGAGCATCTTGGTGACCTTTTGCCCTTGCTCCAGTTTATTAATATTTTTCTTATATCAGGGTTCGTACAACTGGATGTGGTATTCTAGATTTTGGCTTGC